TAACTAATAATAATAATTACTTTTATTTATAAAGCACCTTTCCAAACCGCTGTACACGAACACTGTACATCATGAATAAAGAAAAAGGCAAAAATGTACAATAAATTAAATGAAGGAAAAAACAAAACAAAACAAGAGCATACGGGTTTTTACAGACAGACGGCAGGCAATCAGGTGTAGACCTTGTTAAAAGTGTCAGTTTCCAGTTTACATTTGAAGAGAGTTCAAGAAGTTGTCTCTCGTAAAGACTGAGGAAGGTCATTCCACAATACTGGAGCCAGTGTCATGCTTCATGCATTAAAGATTCCCACAGGAACAGATTATTACACAGGCAGCTGAAAAACTAGCCTCTCCACTACCCCAGATCACACTCACTTTTCTAGCCTCTCATGGTCTGTGTCTGTCTCTCTCAGTCTATCTGTGTTTCTCCGGTTTGGTCTCTGTCTCTCCTGGTGTCTGTCTGTCTCTCTGGCTCTCTATCTGTGTTTCTCTAACGCGGTCTCTGTTTGTCTGTCTTGGTCTCTGTTCTGTCTTTTCCTGTCTCTCCTGGGCTCTGTCTTTGCCTGTCTCTCTGTGTCTCTGTCTCCATCAGTTTCTCTCAGCCTCTGCCTCTCGCTCTCTCCTTCTCTCTCTCACCACACTTCTTGTAGAAGACGACCTCGGCCTTGAACTCTCTGCGGTCATCCAGAGCCCCCTGGATCTGCGTCGTCAGCTGGCTGCTCGTCTCGGCGCCGTACAGGAAGTGACACGCGCAGCTCTTCTGCATCAGCTCCGCCCGGGCGTAGCCCGTCAGGTCGCAGAACCCGTCCGAGCAGTACACAATCGGGTACAGAGACTGGACCTGTGCGTTGCCCAGGACGAAGTTACTGTCTGAGAGAGGAAAGAAGAGACGGAAAAGGAGTGATCAAATCCAATCCCAGAATTCCCTTTCCTTCCAATCCTATGGGAGAAGGGAGCTGGACAGAGCTGCAGCCCAGTGAGGCTGTCTCACAGCAGCAGACACAGCACCAGCTCCACGGTGATTTAAATGTGCTGCCAGTTATTGCTTTGGCAGCACTGTAGTTCAACGGTCACACCAATAAAGTTCTTTTAATTTGAATTTGAGGACTAACAGAGGAGCATAAGAAAGGTTCCCAACAAGAAGAGGACATTCTGCCCATCTGGCTGGGTTGTTTAATTCATCCTTCAGTTGGAGGAACTGTCTTCGACAGCATGGCTGAGCCCTCTTGTCTAATGTGCTTTATTATTTCAAGCTTTGCCAAAGTTCTAAATTGTTCAGACCTCTTTTACGCTCCCTTAAACCTATGTTCTTGTTGCCGTGCGGCATTGCTTTTGTTGCTGAAATGAAAAATTGCTAACAGCCATCATGCCTGGGAAGCTGTGATGTGAGAAAAAGCTAATTGGATTATTTATTATACCCCGCCTTTTACTTCTGTAGAAAGCGTCGCTAAGGTAATTTTGCATTAAGAATGGGGAACAGTGAAAAGAAATACAGGACAATAAGGGCTGTATGCCTGGCTGAGTGTGACAGATTCACAGAAAGAGAAAGAAAGTGACCAGATAGATCGGAAGAGCATCAATGAGTGAATATGAGTGAGGGGCAGAGTGCCGAGGAAGAGCAGCACCTAACTTGTTCAAGGGAACAGAGGGATCAATAAAATGAATCATTTATTGGATAAGCATGGGCCTTTCATACAGAAAATAAACAGGATCACTGATCCAGGTTGGGTATAACGTACCATTAAAAACAACTGCTTAAGAAATATTCAAGTCGGATGGTAAAATAAATTCAATCACTGTTAGCGAGCCGCACACTTCTGTTGACTTAATTAAAAAATAATCATTTGCAGAACCCATCAAAGCCCGGGTTGCTAGAGGTGAGGCTGTAATTGAATCCCTCGGTTCTCAAAGCAAAGCATTAAGAAGCATTTCTGTGGCTGTGCGATAGCGCTGTGTGAATACTAACTCTCCTCCCTCCTGGGTGAGAGAGAGAGAGAGAGGGGGCAAGGCAGGACAGCAGCCCCGCGCTCTGCAGGGGCAGAGAGGGAGGGAGAGGGGCTC